CGTTACAGAATAATGACATCTACAGTACTAACACTTGAAAGCTTCGAAGGCATGTACATATTGCCAATGCACTTTGGATATTAATTCAATTCAATTGATGATATTATTTAATTCATCGGCAGGTGAATCAATCGTTGTATTCAATAAACTATGTTCAACGTAAATCATTGTTTTGTTAACTTTTCTATGTAGTAGTAGTGTATACAAGACAATCTATTTGCTAATGTTATACTGTCTCGACATTGCAAGTCGAATTGAAAATGGGAGAAATGCGTATGTAAGCCAAACTTTGATCTTTTGTCGCCGTTTCAAAAATTTGATACATCCGATGAAGCTGTAAGAACTCACATTAATTAATTTTGCACGACGAGTAACGTCGTTTCTTACCATTTGTAGTATACTGCAAATTTTCTTATCCAATATTTTTAAAGATATTAGTTGACTGGCAGGTTAGTTTCCTGTAGGGTATTATAGTAATCGTCCAAAAATCGAGAATAATAATTCTTGCATATCTTCATGTATCAAGACCTTCTGAACATTTGTACATACCATAAAATAAATGGATGTATGCGAGTGTGTGTGCATGGATACAATTTTTCGTCCACGATTTCTGGCAGAGGAATCAACCGATTTAGACTATTAAAAAAACATTCTATTCCTATTGATAGAGGATGTGTTATTTAATTTTTGGTAGAGGCAGGTACAGTCGTTTCAGATATACGGAGCAAAAACTTCAGAAAATGGAAATTCAGTTTTGTGAGAACGCAGCAATCGATTTGGGAAGACAGATCCAGCCGTTTGGAAGATGCAGCAGAGCAAAAAGGGCTGAAAATTACTGTTTTTGAGACTACTTAGCATTCGATTTGAATGATTCAATATTTTACTTGTGTTGACAGAATGAAGAATTCATTATATTTTTTCGAAGGTTTTGCAAAAAAATACTTGCAAAAATTTGTCATTTGATCATCAAATATTATCTTTAAATATATTATTATTGATTCATATACAAATAAGATTTAGTTAATAGGTAGACAGGTATACAGGTAGACAGCTAGGCAGACAAGTAATCAGGCAAAAATAGTAGAAGAGGAGATATGTATTCAGATATAATGGTAGACTGACAAAATTATACACTGGTATGCTGGTAAAAGAAGTGGACATTTAGGCAGGTAAACAGATGAACCGATAGGCAGGTAGATAGCTAAACAGATAGACAGAAATAGGCAGACAGGGGAACAAATAATCAAGTGAATCATATTTTAATCCAAAAAAATATTATTGATTAAAAAGGTTAATTACACTTTGGAAAGTTCATGCAACTTGCACAATCATCTGCCGAACAATTCCTTCTCAATAAATAGTTTTGAAATAAAAAAAATTTTTAGTCAATTTAATGAAATTTTGCATATTGATAGAGTGTATAGTTTTAACAAACAACCTAAAATATTAGGTCTATGAAAATTGGTTTAATTATAAAAATTCAAAGTTTGGAATAATGGTGGATGTCGAAATGTGAAAATTTGTTAAGTTGCGGAATCTCAATTCTTCTTGATTAAGTCGATTATTTTACAACTTGCCAAGACAAATTACCACTTTTACAACTTTTACAACTAGTTTAAGTAGATATTGAGTAGAACCAAAAAAGCTGGCAAATGTTTGTATATATTAATTTGTTTTGTTTATATATTCACAATACTTAGAACTAATGCCATTTCATGTTTAAAACAAATAGTTCTCAATTTATTCTGCCATTTATTAAATAAAATATATGTTACGAAAGCTCATTTTCAAAGCTCAATTCATACATTAAAGCACCACGTTTTTAATTAGATATTTTTCACTTAATAGTAAATGTATTATATCATGGCAAGGCGTACGTTAACATCGTTTTATTTTGTTAGTAAAATAGTGCATTACGCTAAAGCAAAGCAAGCTCAAATTTCAGTACCGTGATAACGATGCTCCCTTGCGTATTAAATACTTTACTCTGACGATCATTAAAGTTTCATGTTTCGACAGCAAAAATTTATTATGTATTGCAATAGTTATATGCGATAGTATTAAAATGATTTCGATAATGGCTAAACGTCTGACTGAAAAAGATCGAGTTTTAAAATTTAAATATTCAGATCTATAACAGATCTAATAATCGTAGGTATTGAAATTTCTTGAAGACAATTGGATGGCGTGAAAAAGGCACAGAAAGGAGGTGATCGATATAATGAATTCTGTTACACTTACATTTATAAACTTTTCTTTATAAGGTCTATAAGCTAAATCAACTCTCAATGATTTTATAACATTTATTAATTTATTTAAAATTGTTCATGATAGTTGCAATCCATATTGTCACGCTGTATCAGTATTACGTTGAAGTTCTGGGACACCCTGTATATACCAACTGTTTTTTTTATATTGTGAACCATAAGTTGATTAACATTTTGAAACAATATAAAACAAAAACTAGTCAAATATGGCTTGTGCCTTAGCAAATTGCTGGAATATACCTTACCGTAATTGAAATTTCAAGAACTAAAAAGAATAATCAATAAAAAAAGAGTGCGCGTAAGGTTCACACACGATTGAAGTAAAACTTATTTGCTACTGTACAAGATGGCATTTAAGTAAAAGCAAATACATCATATAAAAATTTTGAATAATGTTTATTAGTAATTTTACATGATACAAAAATTTTATTTTCGATTTTTTGTGATTATAATAACGTATCCAATAAAAGTTAACAATGAGATTGAAGTATTAATTCATAAGATGAGCAAGTAAAAAGAATGTTTTAGAATTATTAACCAAATAGCAACTGCTATGGCATTATTCTAAATGAACGCCTATATTTTAAATGATATTGATGATAGCTAAATTATTTATTTATTTATTTATTTATTATAAAGTCAGTTTAATAATAATGTAAGCATAGATATAATGCAAAGCAAAATATACACATACTATAATTATGATTACATTGTTTAATAATTAAATATAAAAATTCATTCCCATTAATATATGTTAATTATTACCAAATTAAAGTTGTTTGAATCAATGTATAAATTATCTTGAAAACGTCAAAATTACCAAAAGCACCACTCTATGCATTTAACCGGCACAATCATGTCGAACACTGAACAGGATGCTATATGGGTAAAGCAGTCGCACGAATTCTAGCATCATTGACATGTAAATAATATTCAATACCCTGAAATTCCGAATGGTTACATTACATGTAAAAGCTCTAGATGTTTTCAAACCGAGAGATAAAACAAAAATGCTCGTTGTAATACAATTCCAAAAACTATTATTCAAAGTTGAAGTGGTTCTTTAGATGAAAAGCTTCTTAACTTCAACATTTAAAATACGATGCACTTCATTCAAATGTAAAGTATTTGAAGTTTAGCGCAATGGCTAAGAAAAATGGTCGGCGGTATCTGGTTTCGCAAAAATCGAGAATAGTTGCACTTGCACAAAATACTTTCACAATATTAAAATACATTTATTTTACAAAGCCAAGCCAACGTTTCACGATACTAATATATACAATACATATTTCTGTAATAACAGACAAGATGAAACTGATCAGAATCATTCAAAAACTAAAATGATTAGGTAAATATTGTTTGTTTTTTATATATGAACAATTTTTTTAAAAAAACATTATAATGAAAAAATGTAGAAGAAGTTGCAAGTTCTAAATAGAGAGAATTTGAACTCTTTTTTTAATTGCATATTTTCTTTTCTAATAAGCGAAAGATCAAATACGGTTACGCTTAAACATTCTTCCACAATATTCAAAAATACCTTCTATTTTTCAAAATTAAGCCATTGTTTTGTGATATTAATACATAATATAATTTACTATAATAACAAAAAGATTAAAATAATAATAGGTGTTTATAAAGATTCACGATATATATGACAGATTGGACTTTTCTAATCGCATATTTGCACGAGTTCCAAAATTAAAAATCTACTCATTAGAATATAGGTATGAAGTTTAAATATATGCACAATAAATTCAATTATATATATATATATATATATATATATATATATTATTAATAAACAAAGTTAATGCAGCTTTAATACTTGGAAATGTTGTGCCTGGAATACAAACAAGTAATTTAGTAAGAGACGTTGAAGTCAAATTTCAACTTTTTTTATACCTTGATCTACAGAAAATATTCATTTAGAAATAGTATATGTAAAAATGATATAAGTGCATTCAGCGGCAGACAGGGAAAACGCAATAATAAGAAGTAAAGAGGTATTCTGGTCTTGAGTTTTGAAAGATCGATTTTTTTTAATATTACAAAGTTTAACTATTCAAGTTTTTTTTTAAATTTGAATTATTTTTGGAGACCATAAAAATTCTCGTCTGTTTCCTTTCCTTGCAAAACTCTAAACGCGTTTTTTCGAAATTGCCTTTTTTGATACGTTACCCAAGATTTCTCAACTTCTACTTTACTGATTTATTTGAAAATTTCATAGGGTCATCTTTATAAACTTTTCTTCAGTATAAACTACGCTCTCCCTCAAATTCAGATTTTCACTATTTTTTTGCAAAAATAGAGAATAAGAAAAAAATATGTAAAAGAAAATACTTGTAAGAAAAAAAATTCTTGTTCGTAGTTCATATGATTGCAACATTTGACTGGATTAAAAATATGGAAGGCAAAAATGATGGGTATGGTCAGTGGTCAATGTTTCGAGACATCTCACATAATTCTCTTCTAGAATTAAAACTCATTGACTATTTGATTTAATTTTATATTCTTAAAACAATAATTAATAACTTGAAAAAAATATGGTTTACCTTTTTGTAACCGTCTTACAAAAATCGCATAAAATGTATGCTTCTGGATTCATTATATAAAGTACGTATGTATATGCACCCTTGCTTCATTTGCCATCTAGTAACATCACGTATGCACAAATCCTCAGCATTCCGCATTACCGAAATAATTTAATACTACTATGCACTTTGACCGTAGGTGAAGTACGTGCAGCAGCGTGACGCTGGATCGTACGAGTGCCAGGTGTCGGGTTCTTCAGAGAGCGACCGCAAGATGAGTTCGATAGTGAACCTACATGTTGTGGTTCCTCATACCGAAATTCTAGGAGAATCCGATGTGTATGTACGAGTAGGAAGCACAGTGGCCCTCAGGTGTCTGGTTAGAGACGCAATGATAGCTCCGCCGTCATACATCAACTGGTACCACGCGCGGGGTCAGAATACTGCAGACATACGGGGACAAATACACGCCTTGGGCGGCCAGTATGGAACGCACGCCGGACGATTCGACGGTAAAACTTTACATGTTTCTTTGTTTTACAAATAAGCAACGGATATTTCGATACAACGTTTGAATACATATTTTCTATTGTAGATTCAAAATACCTAAAGCAACATGTTGTAAATTTCAGAATTATTTTTATATCAAATATTAAATATTTGCCTTTATAATTTGCTTTGGACAGAAAAGGGATAAACTTTGATTAAGCCTTCTTCTGTCTGTAACTCGTAAGATTTAATATTTTTTTTAACTAGCCAATCATGTTTGAGTATATTTTCACGGATATGTTAACCCTTTGCACTGAGTCTTTATCGTGTTTGTATATGTGAATTATAATCGAGATTAACCTCGAAGTAAGACTACTCACTGCAACAATTCGTTTTAAATTAACGTTAAGAGCAAGGGTTGAATGATTATATTAAATAAAAAACAATCTATGAAACTTTTTGGAATACGTAATTATTACTTAGTCTTCAATCAATAGATTGAAATATGATTACAATTCACATATACGAACATAACAACTACTTAGAGGAAAGGGTTAACATATCTGTGAAAACGTATCTTCTATCGGTTGAAAACGTATCTTCTATCGGTATCGGTTGAATCTTTTCAAATGTAATATTTATTACCTTAGTTAAGTTATTTTTTTTTTTTTTTGTTAATCAAGACTTTAATGTCTTATTTACATATCAATTTTGTAAATAAGACATTAAAGACTTGATTAACAAAAATAAATTGTCCGCATATCTATAAAATATAAATATTTTAGAAAGAAACCAAATTTAGGTTTAGTAACAGGTTCATTTCAAATCAACGTCACAATGTTAATACTCATTGCTGATTAATCAGTATGTATATTTCAACATATAGGGTAGAGCGGGGCTTGAAGATCCGCGGGTGAAAAAGTCTACCACCAATATCTTAATAACAAGTATAGTTAAAAATTTTGTTTGAAAGTAGAGGGAAAAATATGAATAACCAGCCATTATTTTTATTATTATGACGTTGTTATCGGGAAATAAACGGCAATGTTTGAAAATCTATACCCTGAGTATTATCTTCGTTGTTAGTTTTTTTTTTTGGTTGTGAGAACCGTTGTTTAGTTTACAAGACCTCAATATTATTTTCAAGAATATGTTTTTCAATTGTTTCATAAGATATTTTGTTAATTTTAAATTAGATTCAAACTTTTTTATATAATCTCGGTAAAAACCTATGCATGGGTGGGATAAAAAAACAACTGAAGTTTTACCCAGGCAAAAGTGTGAACAATAAAAATAGTTAATGAAGAAGTTAATCTAATTAAAAAAATCAATATTACAGAGATAAGTTAAGTTGCTAGTTGTTCCAACTCTGTGGATGAATAATTCTGACGAAATACAAGTCAAGCTTATGTATGGTGTAATTTTGTAAAAATGTGCCAAAAAAGTTTTATTTCTCATTATTTAAATAATTTAGCTATTATCTCTTAAAATTCCTTTAAAATAGAGAATAAGGCATTGAATCTGTTTTGCCCGTTGGGCGTCCCATTTTACGCGCCTATGCGGTAAAAGAACAAATTTTTGATAATCAGCAAAAAAATTAATTTCTTAATTAATTTATTTGGGACTTTTTCTAAACATAGTCAGTTATTTGTTCGATATGCGGTATTTGTTGTGATGTATTTGGGTTGGTTTTCACAATATAATTGCTAGAAGTAAAATCAGAACCTTTGTGCCCTTTATTTTAAAAGCTGTACCTGATTTTTTTTTAAGTAAATATGTTTGCAGTAGATAAAATCAAAATTTGATTTATGATTTGATAAAAGCTACAAAACAGCTTTCAAATAGGACTTAAATTATTAATAAAAATAATAGAATGTCCAGAATTATTTTCTGTATAGTTTTATACTTCGTCAGTAATGATACTGTAAATAGTATTATGAAGTACTGAAAATTATATAAGTACAGTAGAACCTCGATCAGGACCACAGTTATACGGATTTGCGATTATCCAGACTACCAACCGCGACAGAGTTATATGTATGTAGATACCTACAACTCGAATTTTTGCACGATTTATGCTGCAGTTTAGTATATGTAAATAATATAATCTAATATAAGAAAATATATATGTAAATACATAAGGAAATGTTAAATTTATTATTAAACATTGATTTACGTTGATGTCTATGTATGTATTTGTTATTTTTGATAAATACACATTATTCTTCATATATTGGATTATCCAAATTTCAATTATCCGGATGCCTATCGACAACAATTAGTCCGGTTAATCGAGGTTCTACTGTAATTGTAGCGTTATCATAAATGTAATTTAATTTTAAAATTTGCGCATGCAAATATCTGGATTTTTATAATCCGGTAACACTGGTTGTAAATATGACATATTTGAAACACGTAAAAACTCGAAATGTCATTGATTAACGATCGAGAATCTGAAATCTTCAGCATCGGCTCTCGCATCGAGTCGCTCAGCGCGAACATTCCGGCAACTACACATGCCATCCGTCAAATCTGGCGCCCGCCCGGGTTACGCTGCACGTACTAGATGGTAAACGAATACCTCGTTTTGATCCCACGAAGCATGTATCAAATAAATTAATTTGCGTTGAGCTATTGGATTTATTCGCTTTCATTTGGAATAAGTTCACGTGATAGCATGCTCGAAATACGAGTAGCTTCTAAACAGAAATACCAAATTTGTTGCTTTGCATGTGCACACTGACCGAATAGGAGATTGCATGTAGTACTTAGAGATAATTGTTTTGTCAACATTATATTATATATATATATATATATATATATATATATATATATATTTATATATGCATTAACCTTTGATGATATCACAAATTGTACAATGGCAAAAGACGGAAACAAATCAGTTGTTAAGTGTAAAATGCATTAATAACGACGCAAGTCTAGGAAGCGTATATTAGATACCATCACCGCAGTAAAAAGCAAAATACCGTTTCAGGGTTAAAATAATAAACTAGTGTGTATGGCATCGTGCCTTAAGACAATTGCTAGAACTTCCCGTACCGTAAAGAAATATTCGAGAAAAATTAAATATTTTCAAATCGATTATTATAAATACTGTAACTTATACATGTTTACAGAAAACTCAATCAATTAATAAAGAACATTGCTTAATATTTATAAGAATTATATGAACTAAATAGCAAAGTTAAAATTATTCATTTGAAGTATATATGTGATTTTAGAACTTTAGCCAGAGTTAAAATTAAAATCCGAAATATTTTTGGTATTAAAAATATTTTTCTGAGAATTAAAAAAAAATCAAAAGCAATGGTTAACACAAGCAGAAAGTCTTTTGAATCATTCAAATCGGATGCTTAGTTCTCTCGAAAACTGACATTTTATGCATATTACTAATCGGTAAAAGAACGACTGACCTTCCTTGTCAAAAACTGATCACCACTTATCCTCGTCTATAATTGAATGTTTTTGAATCATTCATATCGGATGCTCCTTTCTCCTAAAAACTCAATTTCGATTTTTCTGACTCTTTTTGCTCCATATCTCCGTAACGGCTGGACCTGCCTCTTCCAAAAACTAAGCAGCACATCTCCACATAGGAATCGAATGCTTGGGGAATCACTACAAAATTTAAGAATCATATGCATCCAAAGTACAATTAACAAATAAAACAAATCCCAAAATATTTATTTCATGAGCTCATCAATAACCATTCGCATATCATTCTATATATCGTTATTAAACTTCTGTTATGGGTACCATAAAATTAACTTCCTGTAGGGCAAGTTATAGAAATGGAACAAAAATCTAATTTTTTTTTTTGCATATTTTCTCGCTTCAGAGGTTTCTGAATATTTTGGTGAAGGTATGTGTGGAGACAATTTTCGGAGATATAGAGCTAAATGACAAAAATGGCAGATATATTTGGATGATTTAGAAAACTTTCTGCTTGTGTTGAATCGAGAATAAGAATTTTTCATCTCAATTTTTGTTTTTATCTTCAAAAAACATTTTTTTTTTGTATATCGAAAAATAATTCGGATTTTAATTCTAATTTTAGCTAAAGTTCTAAACATCACTTTGAAAACATTTAATATTCTTCGAATATTTCATTATGGTATGAAAAGTTCCAGCAATTTGGATCAAGGCACGATGCCATACATCACTAATTGTTTTTTTTTTTTTTATCTTATCCCGCTATCTGCATATATGCTTTCAAGTTAAATTAATGTTGGTTTGCGTTTTTTGTCACTTCCCGCCCTTTTTACAAATAATTATTAGTTCTTTGTTTGCAAATTCTATATAATCTGCACATGAATATTTTAAACAAAGCTAAACTGTAATTGTTAGCTTAAAATATTTGTTATTTAGGTCAAACTCGCCATATATCGCGATAATAGCTTGTTATGAAACATATATATTGGTATTGAAATTGATATGTGATGCAGACTTGAAATTGATTCTAGGATTTCAAATTAAATTGCTGGAAAATATTGCCTGTTTTGCATATAAACAATTTTTGTAGAATCACACTGATTAAAAAAATGTGACATAACTTGCGAAAAAAATTTAAACTGTCGTTTTAATTAAATTTTTATTGATTTGTAATTGGAACTAATTTGAATATTTATAAATTTAGTAATCTTTACTATACGTTTTGCAAATCAAACCTAAACGGTATATTTTGATGATTATTTCTTGCTGTCGATTATCTTGTATCAGAACATTCTTAGCTTTATCATTAAAATTTGGTAATAAATAATTAATATGGGTAACTCGTAATGATCAATTAGAAGTGTGGATAATAGAATATTGACCATAAAAGATAAAAATAAATATGATTTAAATTCATGTTATCAATAAAATCAATACATCTATCCCCCCGTTTCACCACGTTACTCTTTTACACGATTTTAAAATTATAAACACTAACTAATATAGGTACGATAATATTTTCATTGGTTCACTATCAAAATACAACATTACAAAGGTATGTTACAGTTAC